TATTAAGGTAGGCTATTACATATAATCTAAGTAACTCTATAAGCGCAGTATTAATATATTATTAGAAAGTAGATAGCGCACTACTAAGACTAAATAGATATACTAACTATTTATACAACCTAAACTAGGTGCGGAAAGCTGTTAAGGACTTATAACCTTCTACTATTCTAACTTTATAAAAGGCAGCGCAAATGTCCACTTTTATAAACTAATTTGCGCTAGATAGTGTGCGTAAAGTTTCCTTAATAAGTAGTAGTAGGTATTAGTCTAATATTGTTATGCTATTAAGTATCTAGTAATCTATACAAAGGCGCTAACCTCCTAATAGCTTCTTTACTAGTAATACTAGAGCTCTAGCTATAGAAGAGCTTGCTTAGATCTAGCCCTTATCTATTAATCTAGTAAGTTGTGTTCTTAGTTCTAGTAATTAGTCACGCGACATAGGGTATAGGGGACCCTATAAGGGGTTAGGCTAGGTTCTGTCTAGAAGAGTTATTAACTAAACATAGTAATCTATACTACCTTAATAAGGCAGCAAACTGCTTGCTAACTCTTTGTTAAATAGGTCCTTAAATTCTTGCAGTTCTAGTAGCAACTTTGTCTTTCTAGTTTTATACTTAGGTTTGTAGGGAACTATATTACTAGTAATATAGATAGTGTGCATGTTAATAGGACCTCCCTTATTAACACTTCCTAGATATTTTATTAAGCGCAAGTTATATATTACCTATAAAATATCTAGTATATTTATTGCAAAAATTTGTACCTATATATCTTCCTATTAGGATCCTTAATTTAGCAACCCTGCTATAACTAAACCTAAGATAGTAGAGATACGGGTAGGATATAGGCGTCTCCTGCTCTCTTATACTACTATATTTCCCGCCTTCCTAATTATTAATTTGCCTTGTAGAATGTCTATAACAACGCCCTCTCTGCATAGCTATAGTCTGCCTAGTATTAGTTAATAGGAGAGACTAGGTACTATATAAGCCAAAAGCTAAGACCGCTAACTATCTAAATTATAGTCTAATGCTACTAACTATAAAATTCTTGTACTCTTAGCAATTCCCTAGGTATGTTGCAAGGGTTGCAGGGGAATGTTAATAAAGTTCCTCCTAATCTATTTTGCTAACTTTTCCTTAACTACACTAAAATACTAGCACCCTAAATTAACTATCGCTTACACGTTCTCTACTCTACCTAGGAGGAGGGGAATAAAGAAAGGTAGATTATTTAACCTAGCCTTAATATCTAGGGGACACTTAATAGCCTCTACTATTAATAATTCCTCTATTATAGTGTCCTCCTTATACCCCTAACTTGGCCTAAAGTTAGGGGTAGCTAGTTTCCTAAATTAGGGCCGCTTGCTAATACTGCAACTATCTTAACACCTACTAGTTGCAGTAATAGGGCATTAGGGCATGCACGCACAAAATAACCGCCCTATCTATACTAGGTGTAGACCCTTGCTAGTTTCTGTGTATTAAATAGGTCCTGTGGGATCTAATTAGGGCGTGATATTAGTAGTTTAGTAGGTGCACTTAATAAGGCTGCTACTTCTACTATATTTGTGTTGCTATCCTAATCTAAGTTAGACTTCTACTAGGGTTCCTTAGACTTACTAGCCTAGAGAAAACCTAGTTCTAGAGAGGCTATTTTAATGTCCACCGCAATTATCTTGTATTCCTCTATAGCTACGTTATAGTTTATCCTAGAGACTCCCCTATTAAGGGAAACTAAGCGCATGCAACTATTAAGAGATCGCTAAAGTTATAAAAGCTTCTATTTATTATCCTAGTATAAACCTCCTAACTATATAAGGAGCTGTATAAAATTTACAAAGAACTCTATAAAAGGCTAATTTTAGCCCTAATATAAGTGTTCTAACGCAACTTAGGCGCGCTCCTGCCTATAATAGTTGCTATAATAGAACGCTAGGTAGTTAAGAAACCTGCTTATATCTTAACGCTTACGTGCACTATCCTTAAAGTATAGTGCTATAGCACGCTAGACTATAGGTAATAACTAGGACTAAATATATATAAACCTTGCCTCCTTATCCCTAATAAAGACCTTGTCTGCACGCAGTTTAAACTCTATAGTTATTTGCTAGGAGGAGAAGTTTGCCTTAGTGCTATTATATAGCAAGCTAACTAGGAAGGGCTTGCAACGTAGCGCAGGAGAGGGCGGAGGCAGTATATTATTAAACCCGGCGGGCTTAGAGGAGGGTTAGGATAGAATCTAATTACGTATTTCCTTATTCTATTAACGTAGTATAGCTATTATAGTAGAGTCTTAAGCCTATTATTCTATTAATCTATAGACCTATTATATTAGCCTTTCTACTATATTAGGTTGCACCTAGTTATTCTAAATATCTAGCGCGTCTATCTCTTATTACTATTATAGTATATTTAGAAGAAGATACTAAAATATTATAGACTAGCCTTAAGGGAAGAATATAATAAGCGTTAATAATAGTATTTAGTATCTTAAAGGAGAGATAAGCCCTCTACGCCTTTTTATAGGTGTCTAGTGTGTTCGCTTAGTAGTGGTGTTAGACTTGGTCCATCTTGTGTTAGACCTAGGCTTGGGCATAAGCCTAAGCCCTTTATAGTTTAGAATATATTAATAATATATTATAGCTAGACACCTATAAATACTAGATTCTTCTTTAATCTAAGGGACTACTAGAGCTTTATAATACTTATAAAAGTTAAAAGAAAAAGTTATATACTATTAAAGGACCCTATAAAAGTAAATAGTACTTTACTTTTAGTAAATAGAAAAAAAAAGAGAAGAGTAGAGAGTTTATTTTAGTAATTACTACTACCCCTTTAGGTTATATACTATTATATATTATTTATTAGAACCTATTCTTAATATATTCTTAACGTGTTCCTACTTGTTACTATTATTATCTCCCTCCCCCTCTCTAGTATCTTCTCTATCCTCCCTATCCTCCCTAGGCTCTACAAAAGCATACTATAAGTAGAACTAGGCAGTATTCTAGCAGGAATTAGTAAGGTCTACACTAGTATTAAAGTAACAGTCTTAAAATATATTAGGAATAGGTTAATAATATATTATAAATAACTTACTATAGCTAGGATAATTATAAGTGTAGATAGTATAAGGAACCTAATAACCTTAAATCCTTAGTAGGGTAGATATAGTAACAAAGTTAAGCTATAATAAGTTAGTAACATGTTTTTAATAGGTTCTTATAGGCTATACCTTATTACTATTATAGCTACTACAAGTCTTCTTCTAAATTATATTTAGGAGAGTATTAGTATTTATAAGGGGGCCTATAGTAGCTACTAGCTAGGCTTAGAGAACTTCTATAAAATATATTAGTAATAAGTTTTAAATATATTCTAAATAACTTATAGTAAGGAGTATTCTAGTAATTATATATAACCTTTATATAGAAGTTTATATATATTAGTATAATAAGTTAAGAATAGGTTAATAATATATTTACTCCTTACCTTATAGACCTCTATTATAGAGGGCTAGCTAGTCTTCTTAACCCTACTAACCTTATAGTAGGCTATATTAAGCCTATAATCTTTTTTAGCATAGGTATATAGAGTGCCCCTAGTACCTAGAATAGCCTAAGAATATTAGAACCTATTTAGAATATATTTAGAACCTATTCTTACTCTATATAAAGTGCCCTTATTATTAATCTTAGTATAGTAGTAGCGCTCTCTACTCTCTATCTTAACTACCCTATTAGGGCTAACTATAGGCTATACCCTAATATTATCTAGGACGCAGCTAAGGGTAAGGTACTATTAATAGTACTTCTATAACCTGTTAAGAACATGTTCTAAATATGTTTTAATCTACTTATATAGGATAAGAGGGATGCGTTAGTAATAGGCATAGTAGTAGCAGCTTATAGTATTACTAGTATAGAATATATTTAGAATAGGTTTAGAACGTGTTACAAAATCTTATAGTATAATATTTAGTTAACCTCGCTTAGCTAGCTAGTAGAGCTTGGCATAGCCTAACCCTATGCTAAATACGAGTTCACGCAGCGCTAATTCCATGGTCATATGAACTGCGCCCTCGCACTCGCCTGAACATTCGCCGCCAAGCGCACATTAATATCATGTTTGTCGCTACACATTGTCAGATTTGATGAAGAGGTCAGTCAGACATAGCCCTTAAACCCTGCGAATGGCTATCGACTTGTTTTGTGAAATAGCTTTGGGAGAAGTGATAGGTCCAGATGGACCTCAGATGCCAGCTGGCTACGCAATCCCATTCGCCTGAGTCGGTCATGAGAACACTATTCGCGGGCTGTTCCTGAACTATGGGTGCTTTTGAGGCTCTCAGCACCGCAGTGCATTCTTAATCTGCGGTGCCAATTTCCAGGTAGCCATGCCTGTTGTCTATCGCCTTTCGATTGGGCATTGATATTGCCTGCACAACACAAGTCTGCTTGTAGGAAAAAGCATGCATGGATGATTGTAGCGTCACGCAGGCAAGTCCAAGACGCTGAAGTGGCTGCCATCGATTCTGAAGGACCTTTCTACTGCAGGCATCAGAGAACTTCCCGGTATACATGGGAAGCTCACCATCCCCCCGGTCGTGGACAACGCACCACAACGTCCCATGCACGATCGATCAACTAATCATTAAAAGGGCCTTTTTTTCAACATCCTGGGAGGGGGGGGGTGAAGGTCGCATGCACTATCTAGTGGGATTTCGCTAGGAAGGTTCCACATATGTACAGCTTCCGCGGAGCTCGACCACGGCGGCTATCCAGTATTGGTATCGCGACGGCGTGCTGATCTACAATGTTGGATGCAACTACATGTAGCACATGCATTATTTTGGAGCTTGAATGGACCAAATTATCAGATGAACTGGCCAATATCAACAGCTAGCTAGCCTACTGATGTGAATTGCGCCTGACCTTGGCGTGCGACAGTGGTGGTGTGAACAAGGCTTGCAGCACTACGTTCTGGCGCGCTCCCATGGTCAAAGGACCGCAATTCGTCTCGATATGCACCTACAGCTATACTGGCCCCGGTAGTCTACGCAAGACAAGAAGAAAACCTCATTGCGACTCTGTCGAGGTGCGGATGTGCAGTTCACAACCCTCATGCAGTCTGTCTGCATCCATACTCCTGCATGGAGCCACGGGACCTGCACGCGCTTGCGCATTACTGTATCCGCCTGAAAGGTAGGCTTCCTTCCCTTCCCTCCCGATGAATCGTGATCGGCTGTGCTTACCCGGCGGCAGGACTCCTGGAGTATCTTTACATGTGAACACACATATACACACATGGAGAGAGAGAGAGAGAGAGAGAATACATTCACGGCCGCTAGAGTACCAAGGCACTAGGAAATGCTCCTTCCCTTCCTCCTCCGTTCCCAGCAACTGCGAAGGCATGGAATTACGGCAGTCACGTTGGCCACTTTGCTAGGTGCCCATAGTATCTTCTCCATGTGGAAAGATTGATGCCATAGCAAACCAACTTCGCTATGCTGGAAAGAGTTTCCTCCTCGATAACCCTCAACCCAATTCACCTATGTTACGTTACATGATGGGCTAGGCACATCCCAGCCCAACACCATCCCCCCACATCTTCCATCTGCCTGGGACATGCAGGATGCCTGCTTTGCTCTCCACCAACTATAACTTACTGGATTGCAGTAGCAGTAACGGCGAGAAATGTTCACTCAACACTACTAGCACGCCAATCAACGTTGCGAGCCATGCACCGTTGAAGCTACTCGGTGAAGGCTTCGTACAACGAGAAGCTCTTCAACTTGCGGACCCAGACAGGTTTACCTATTACCAGAACTTTGCCGAGTCGAGCACATTCTCGGAGAACGATGCCGACGAGTGCAGTGAGTACGACGATGGCTACGAGCCCAGTCAGAGCCAATCTCTTGATCGCCCTGGGAGGATTCCCTGCAATCTGGCGATCCGCCTCGCAAATCGATCCAATGGTCCGCCACTGGCAACGATCATGGAGCAACATTCACGCTCTACCTTGAACTCACGTGTCTCCTTGCCCAGTGTCAGTTGTGCTACGTCTTTGCCTAATTCCGATCATGTATCTCCGCCATGCACATTTCAAAAAATGCCGAACCATGCAGATGATCCCGAGCTTTCACGAATCGCAGAGGATGTTTCTCCGGAACAAGATGTCAGCACCATTAGGGAAAGCAGGCTAGCGAATGGGAGTGGGAGCACACCCCCGACAATCAAGACTCCAAACCAGACGAGTGGGATAGCACAAACACACACTACCGACTTTCACATAGGTGACACAGAGCACTCGACTGGTAGCCAGAGGATTTCGGCTTTCTTTTGCGATGTTTTACAGAGTGTTCAGAACACATCACGGGTCAGGTCGTCCCAGTTGATCCAGACTACCATGATCAAGTCCAAAGACCGACGGGTGAGACCGGTCCAATGCAGTCCGCGGAGCCATGGATACCAGTTTGACATTGCTCAGACCACTTATGACGAATTGAGCAACCCGCGTCTTAGGAATGGCTCGACTTCAGGCCCATCGCTGACGCCTCTTGGAAATTCTCAGATCAGGGGTCGGCAGACACCTTCATTAGCAAATGTCAAGTTTTCAGCTGAAGCTGATCCGCCCTTGCTCACAACTCTACCGCATGATTCTAAACTTATGACCGATAATAGCCCTGTACCTCCATTGCTGCCACCTTCGGTTGCAACGCGTTCAGATGAACGATTCGCTTCTGTGCATCCTGTACAACCAACACCACGCGATGGGGCGCACAATGGCGACACGGCTAAAGTGCCAGCGATCTTGAGCGAAAGGATATGTGAAATGCTGGTTCACAACACGCCTGAAAGCGTGTCCGTCTACCCTGGGAACGCCGCTTCGCTTGCACAGTGCGATCGCGCGATCGAGTCCAGCCGAAATGCCAGCTTCTGCAGCACCATGTCTACATCATATTCAGGGACGGTACTGGGTGTTGACTTGGACCTTGGACATGAGCTTGTCGGCATTCAGAACATGCCCCACTCGCCTTCGCCCACGCCAATCGCACCCCCAGTATGGTTCACACCGCAAATGGGAGAGCTCGAGGGACAAGCGTCCATGTCGGAATCTCCAGCGCAGGCGACGAATGATAGGACAAATACTACCTCGCACTCTGTAAAGTCATTCGCTTTAACGTCCCTACTACCCATTGCAGCGGCATCAGGTGTCGTCACCCCGAATTACAACACGCCAAAGATATCCTTTTACTCTCCATCTGGTAATCTTATCCAGCCTGAGAACAGTTCATCGCCTGGAACAGGATCTTCAGAATTTAGTGGGTCTCCAACCATGGCGACATCCTACTTTTACAATGTTCGGAGCACCCCCATCCATCCAGCACCACCAGTACGTCCGGCTCTGGTACCGATGACAACTCCACCTGTGTTCTCAGCGCCATTGCCTGCGCATCTGCGACACCACCACAATTATCGACATCCAGAAAATTCGCAGATCGTTTCCACAGAGTCCTTTGTCCTCCCTAGTCCGGTTGTGCGAGGCTGTGGCGGTATCGTCAAGAGTCCTAGCTTCACGCCTCGTAGTGGTTCACGAAATCAATATCCAAAGTTCAACTCTGGCTCATATCAGAAACATCATCGCTCTACCTGGTCCATTGTCCACGACTTGAAGTTTGAAGCGAGATTCTACAAAGCGGGCCTAATTACCAAAGCCTGCATGTTCCGCCGTCCTACAGCCAAGGGTGATGTTCTCCACAAGCGCCGCGTTGTTAGCCAATGCCCCGAACAAGAACCTTCCTCGAATAACAGGGATAGTGGCAGAAGCGGGGCCGCAACAATAGTCGTTGAAGAAAAGGCCCGAATGCGTCCAACGTCGCGTGAACATGCTCACAGTAAACTGGGTCCTCTGGCAGGACACACCATGCGGATATGTTTCTGTCAACCATACGACGGCGTGGGAAGATTGAAACACGAGGGTGCTACCGATGCGCCATGTATTAGGAAATTCAGGAGTGCGTCCGATGGCCTAGACCAGGCAAGGCGAGCAGGAGAGAGGGACAGTGGCACGCAGGACTGCGAACTCCCTAATGCGCGTGTTGTTGGCAAGCAGACGGATTGCACCGGCCAGGGCGAGAAGAAGGCGGCAATTGGCAGGACGAGTGTAGGGGCCAGGATGCGAAGTGAGGATGTGAAGGTGGTGAGTATTGAGGTTGGTCTCCGTGTCGCGGCCATGGAAGCGTAACTTGTACATTGCAGCTCAGCATACCTACAACTGCACACATACTCCTCCTCCCCGTGGAATGAATCGTCACATATCGGATGCAAGTCAAGAATACGGCAGATGATCCGTAACAAACACGAACTCCCACAGCCTCATCCACCCACCGCGCTTGGAATTTCCAAACCATTCATATCCTATCCAAAACACTTTTTTGGATGATGGGTATGCGTCACAGGAGTTTTCGCCATGTCGATATGGTGTAGGGTGTGTATAAGGATGTGGATCGGGATCGGGATATGCATAGTACCGGTCACCTGCCTGCTATTGGATAAGGTGTTTGCTATTAAACTTACTACTATACAAATATACTTATACGTCGTATGCACACGAATCGTCACTTATGCCCACTCCCCCCGCCCTCCTGCTTTCTATTGCCCATCGTGCAGCTAGCGTTGTGCAGGCTGGGAAGTGCATGTGTAGGGTTTTTCTTTTGGAGAACTGGACGTGGGTATGAGCGTGGATCTGTGTGTGGTTGTATGTACAGGTACGTAATATCTACATATAATATCTCTAGCTACAAACCATGTCCATATCCCCATCAATGTCTTTTTCGAGCAGTAAAAAGCATTCACAATATCCACATATCCCTACCCTCCCCCCCTCCCCCAAATATCCCTCCAAAACTGCCGAAACCCATACTGCCTCTCCAC